GTTGTGGGTTTTTCATGGACATCCTTTATTGGATGTGGAAACTCCATTTAAAACAGTAAAGAAAACCAACAAAACTAAAACTTCTCTTAAAGATACTTTCCATGCATCTAAACATTGAACAGTGATTGAAGATGACAGAAGAGAATCAATGACTTTGAAGTGTAGTGTTGGAAAACAGTACTGGACATCCCATGGACTACCAAAAGAACGAACAGATTTGTGTTGCAGAAGGTGCTTGAAATTTTGCCTCATATGCGTGGGGCATATTGTTAGGAGGTCAGTCCTTGGAAATGCACATCATGCCATGAAAGGTGGAGGGTCAGAGAAAAAGCGCAGGACCCTCAGGGGGGTTGATTGATACAGTGACTATAACAAAGGGTTCAAGTATGTCAGAGATGATGAAAATGGCACAGGATAGGCCAAGGATCTGTTGTTCATAGGGTCACTAAGAGTCCTACTCAATGGCACATGATAACAATAGGAATCTTGGTTTTATAGCACATAATGTATCTGGTTACTAACCTTTGAATCTACCAATAGCTCTGTAGGATAAAGAAGAGCAGTCTGCTCTCATAAAGATTTACTGCCTCAGAAACCTCATGGTCTCTATGGGTTGAAATGACTTTGCTGTCAGCGTGAGGCTGCACCAGTGGTGACGACAGCCCAGGCAGTGTTTCATTCTGTGGTATGTACAGTCACAGGGCATCGGGGCTGGCTCAACAGCATCTAACAACAGCAGCAACACATTATGTCATTTTTGCTAGCTTTGTGCTTCATTTGCTCTTATTTTTCCAGTTTCTTTCTCCCTCCTTCCTCTCCTCTCTTTACTCATCCCTGAACAAAAAGAATGTTTTGTTGGTATAAAAAGAGCATGTGGGAGTGGCCATATCTGACTTTACCATCTCCAGAGAGGGAAACTGTCCCCGTCAACAGCATCAGTAACACAAAACCAATTCCCGTGAGGTCAGACGTCCCCCATGCTCCCTTATCTCTTTCTAGTCATCTCAACACCAATATCTCTGCTTTGCTGAGGAAAAAATCTGATGTGATAGCTCACAGACCAACTGAACCATTTTAGATACATCAAAAGTTTATAATCCAGGTTAGTAGTAGAATACAATCAGGACAGCTCTTGAAATGTGCTCACAGGCACCTCAGCCTTGAGCCTCACAACTTTAGGGCAGTGTTAAAAGTTCTCAGTGCTGCAGATTATGCACCCCCACCCACCCCAGTTCTCCAACAAATTTAGGCAAAGGCTTATAGTTCCAATTCCAATGATATAGCAGTCTTAAAGTCCCAACTCATGTCAGGTCTCCGTTTCTCTGTCTCATAGCAGGTCTGTTTCTCTGCTGTGGCTGCTATGGCAGTTGGTCCTATAAGCCCTCTTGCTTGCTCTTTTTTTGGTTGTGATGTTCCTTTGCTGGTGGTAGGGAGGTCTCTCTCTCTCTGTGCTGCTGGGTTGCTCAATTTAATGGCAATACTAGCCAGTCTGCTTTTGAATTTGTAGATATCCAGTCCCCCTGTGGTCAGGCTAACAGGCTGCAATCACATATTCCCACTCATCTACATTGCAAAGTCAGACGGTGACGAGGAAAGTCATGTTAAAAGTGAAATTCCACAACTAAGATACTTTTTCTTAGCATTTTTTTATTTGCGTGATCAAAGTTTACAAATCATAATGGTTCTTCATTCAGCCATTCATAGACATTTTGTTTTGCAGCATTAATTAGAATTTAGTAATTAACTTATCACAATGTTTAATCAAATCCTTACTGCATATTGCCTTTCTCTTCACCCGACTTATCTGTTTATTGATCTTCATTCCCCTCTCCCTTCCTCTCATAATGATTAACCCTCCAAGATTGATTCTGTGTGTAAAATGAGTATAGGCAGCATGAAGTTAGCCAAATCTGGCTTCTGCTAACTCCACAAAGGGGAACTGTCTCCGTGAGTAACATCTGTAGTACAAAACTAATTCCTGTATGACCAGGCCTGGTTTCATGTGCTCCCACTCGTGCTGTTACTAATTCCAACATCAGGCTTACTGCTCTCCTAGGTCTAAAATCCATTGTATTGACCACACAGGCTTCACAGAACCATACTCACAATTATGGGGCTTATTAGGGAAGTTAACAAGGTATAATTCAAGTTGAAAGCAGGATACAATCTCATAAGTCCAGACAGCTTCTCAAATGTGGTCACAGGCCCTTTGACCTTCTGCCTCATAGCTTAGGTTAGTGTTACAAAGTTTCCTTAGTCCTGCCAGCTGTGTCTTCCCTCAGTCCTCCAGCAAGCTTGAGTGAAGGGCTTTGGCTCATACCAGTCTCTGATTCTCTACAGAGGCTGCTGCTGCTGCTCTTGTATAGAACCTGGTTGGACTGGTGTGAGAATCTCTGGCTCCGAAGGATGCGATATGCTTCCTCTTCCTTGCTTGTGTTGAGATTCCCCTTTTTGCCTCTGAAACCACCTGATTTAAACCTAGTGGGATGAAGAGACTAGCCAATTCCCTTGCAACAGATTAGCAAATCCAGATTGTGTGATCTCACCCAGTTATGTGGCAAAGTCAAAGTCAGTGGCTAGGGAAGCCATTTTTAACAATAAACCCTTGGTACTACACTGTTTATACACCTTTCCTTAGCTGCTTACATTTCTGGTCCTTTGTTGGTGTACTGTTGCCTAGGGAATGAATGCCCTCTGTTTTCCTCTGCCCCATCCTGCTCCAACTGCCTCTGGGTGGGTACAGCCTAATGTACACACAGTGTTGGCGATGATCCCAGGAGGACTTGCCCTTTCTCTGGTTCTTACTTCTAAACTTCTAGTCATTCTGCCATTTGGCTTGTTGCTGCTAGTTTCTTAATTGTACTCCACCAAGATCTTTGTGCTTTTGGGGGTTTTGTTATATATTTGGTTTTTTGAACCTTTTTTTGTTGTTTGAATAAAAGCTCACAGAACAAATTGTTTCCCATCCAACAATTAATACTTTTTTTACATTAGTTGCAGTTCCCTTAATGTAACAGCTTTCTTCTTTCTTCCTCCTTGCTTTCCCTGCTTCTATCTGTCCTCCTTTCTTTTCCTGTGAACTTTGATGAAGGTGTGCACTGCCCTTTGGATCTGTGTGATTGATTGTTCTGAATAGTACATTACTCACAGGTGGTTTTGTTCACTTTATCAAACCAGAAAATCAAACTCACTGACATTGAACTGATTTTGACTCAGAACGATGATGCTTCAGGACAGAGAACTGCCTCCTAGGGTTTCCAAGGCCATCAGACTTCACAGGAGCAGCCCGGCTCATCTTTCTTTCACCGTGGTTTCAGTTAGCTTAACCCACTGTTCCCACCAGGACTCTTTGTTCACTTTCTAGGCATGTTTCTAGTTTGGCTGTAAGAGGTGGGTTCCGCTCCAGGTTTGAAAGGTGCCTAAGGGGAGCTCTGATGGCCTAGTGTAAGAAGCTGTACTGCAGTCTCTAAGGCACACAGTTCAAATCCACCAGCAGCTCTGCAGGAGAAGGATGGGCAGTCCCCTCCCATGTGATTTACTGCCTCTAAAACCCGCTGTAGGGTCAGCTATGGGGTTGATTCCAACTTGAAAGTACACAACAAAGTGCATGGTCTCAAGGGAACCACCAGTCAGTATCAGACCAGCTATATTTTTCTCTCACTCTGTCCAGGACTTTGTATTGCTATCCCAATAAGAACAGGTAGTAGTGGTAGTCAGGTACCATTTAGTTCTTCTGGTCTGAGGTGAGTGGAAGGGAAGCTGTGGTAATTTCCATGTTTTTAACAGCTCTTTTAGGTACAGAATTTTCCACACTGTATTCCAAATGATGTCAGTCTCCTCACAGTAGTGTTAGGAAGCTTTTCATCATCCAGGCCTGCTTCCCTGCCACCCTCATCCCCTGGAAGAACCTTGTGTATTGTACAGGAGCAAGATGAGACAGCAGCCCACTTCCCCCAGATTAACACCTCTACCAGCTTAATTGGATACTGGAAAGAAGAGAGGAAGCCCCTGGTCTTATTAGTTTACCCCTTCCAGTGTGGGACGGGAATCTGAAAGTCAACTGCAGTGCATGCAGCCAGGCAGCAGTGTTCTTGGCTGTAGCCCCAGGTAGAACATATGCCCTATCAGTAGGGAGAGGGAGCCTCAGCCTGTCAGCTGTACCCACTCAGAAAGGAACCTCTGCAATAAAGGTTAGAAGACATGCAGGAAAGACTGGTACCCTCAAGAGAATTTCTAAAAATCAAGAATGATTAACAGAGATTATAATTCTCTTTTTGATTGATTATTGATAAAGAATCAAGAATTTTATTACAGAGATCATGTAAGAAGAGAACTTTATAAAATATGGAATCCTTGGTGATACTTTTTTTCCCTTTTTTTTATATTGGTTTGCAAACAAAATTAATATGCATTGTGTTTCCTTTATATACACTATGTTTCATGCATTCCTTCATTCTCTTGTCTTTCATATAATCATTTCCAAACACTTTTATAAAATTAATCACCATTGATCTATGCTTACTATCACCCCATCTTTTTAAGTCCTCACTGGATCTTTCCTAATTCCTTCACTGCCTCCCTCTAGCCACTAACCTCTTCAACCCCATGATATCTAACCCCCCTTCCTGTTGACACTTTAACCTGTTTAACATTGAGGAAGCTCCAGTGATCTGGTGGTAAGGAGTTGCACTGCCAAAAGGCATCTGTCACCTGCTCCATTGGAGAAAGATAAGCAGTTTCCTCCCATATGATTTATAGCGTCTCAAAACTCCCTGGAGGTTCTGCTATGATATGTTCAAACATGACTGAGTATAAGAACAAATGTGAAGTTTGATTGGAATCAGGACCAGAATATAAAGGGCCAAGGATTAAATAAATTGAGGCATGAGTGGAGAATGCTCTTGGAAAATTAACCCTTCAAAATTATTTTTTCAAATAACCAGTTTTTTTCTTTTTCTCTTCTCATTCTGTTCATGTTGTCCTGTTTGTTTTCTCCACAGGCGAGACCTGGAACCCTTTCAAATTACAGTACCAACTGAGGAATGTACGAGAGCGAATTGCAAAGAACCTAGTAGAGAAGGGTATTCTAACCACAGAGAAGCAGAATTTCCTTCTGTTTGACATGACCACACACCCAGTAACCAATACAACGGAGAAGCAGCGACTAGTGAAAAAACTGCATGATAGTGTACTCGAGCGGTGGGTAAACGACCCTCAGCGAATGGACAAGCGAACACTGGCGCTCTTGGTACTAGCCCACTCCTCCGATGTGCTTGAGAATGTCTTCTCCTCTCTGACAGACGACAAGTATGATGTGGCAATGAATCGAGCAAAAGACCTTGTCGAACTGGATCCTGAAGTGGAGGGGACAAAGCACAATGCCACAGAGATGATCTGGGCCGTGCTGGCAGCCTTCAATAAATCCTAAAGCCAGCAGGTGGCTTTCTCCTTTCCCCCTGCTGGCTGGTGACTGTCAGAGACCTCCATCACTGCGTTTGGTGTGATGAGATGGTTTTACATCACAGTTTTTCCTTCTCTTAAGTCAGACATCATGATTTGAGGCAGGGGCAACATCAGGGCTTCTCCATAGGCCACAATAAATCTAAGTAGACTTTATTTCACCCTGTACTTCCACTCCAGTGGAAAAAATCCAGGTGAACACACATGTGCCAGGGAACGTTTTCCTCCCATCTTAGCTTAGTTTCATCCAGTGTGTTTCAGGACAAGCAGGAATATGTGATAGGGTTTAAACGTCTCAGCCGCACAATGTGAAGGAGATGAACAGCAAACCGTTTCTTAGTTTTTTAAAGTTTGTTTTTTATCTTAAATATGTGGTGGTTTCACAGTCTTTGCTATGTAATGTGCTTTATTGACATAATTGTTTCCCAGAGTAAGGGCTGTGAAACAAAATGAATTTTTGGAGAAGATCTCTGAATTTCTATGTCAAGCTAGTGATTTTCTCATTTTTCCTTTTCTACTGGTGACAATGTCATAAATTTGATTACGTGATTCTCCTAGCCTAGAACCAGAAATATATTCTATACTCCCTCTAAACATCTGTTCTCTCGCTTAGTGAGGCGAAAGTCTAACTGAAAAATAAATGAATAAAAATGTATCTCAACCACCTTTTCCATGTGGTCAGCATCAGAATTTGTAAGGAAAGGACATGGCATGAGAATTTCTATTCTTTAGCACATGATTGTCTTGTTTACTGTAACTATTTTGTCTCTGCTCTGATTAAATTGAGGGAAGTTAAGTTTCAGTTGGTAAACAGAAGCACTCTGCATACAGGAGAGTATATCTCAGCTTGATCTTATTGGTCCCTTTCTTTGGCTACCCACATGAACTGAGAAATTCTGTCTATATATAAGGATGCTGGGGTTTTGTGTATACTTAATCCACAGACCAGACATCAGTTTTTGTTTAACTGAATAACTGAACTCTCTTTCTGGCCAAATCTCTCAAACCTTTCCATTTTAGCAGGAAGAGTGGGGAAGGAGGGAAAGCTTTATTAAGAAAGAACCTTTTTAGAGAAGCATTTTTGTATCAAAAACAGCCTGATATGAAGCCCAGTTATAAACTTCATTTCCTCCCCTAACCTTACTTAGCTACAAAAAAATTTCCCAATTCAATTAACATTTTTGCTTTTTCTGTTTTCACTCCAAATATCTCTTAATTGACTAGAGATGCATAATATACTGTGAAGCAAATTGAAGTGCGTGAGGCTGACTTCCAGTCTCATTCAAGTACAAAAGCCAGTCCATGTTGCCTCGACCTGATGTAGCTTTTCATTGGAACAATTCAGCATGAATTGAAACCAGGTTTTCCTGTAGAAAGTTTCAGCTTGATGATGGGGTAATTGCTGAGTTCTTTCTTACAACTCTTGCTCAACATTTATTTTTATATTGTATTTTAGTAAGATTAGAATATCTTCAGTTTGAATCTGCCTAATGATCACTGCCAAACATCTCAACTAATGCCTATTGCCCTCACACTTCTGTATAATAAAGGTCTGTTCTTGGCTCTCTGGTTTTTCGATGTTTACAATTGTAGTTATTTTACCTGGAAATAAAAACTTTATGCATAAGGGCCAGTAATATTTCCATACTATTAACACAGCAGCCTGTCTGTTTTGTATTGTGTTGCAAATGAACACAAATAATAGGCTGGGGGCCAACATACATCAATGCTAAGATGAACAGTATCCTCCTCAATTAAAATAAGTTGCCTAATTTTACCATTTACCAGTGTCTCTCTGGAGACTAAGGTGCTCCTGATACAGGCCATGGTATTTGCAATCGCTTGTTATGCGTCAGAGAGTTGGACAATGACTAGGGAGGACAGAAGGAGAGTGGATGCTTTTGAGCTGTGGTGCTGGAGAAGAGTACTGAATGTACCATGGACTGCCAGGAAAACAAACAGATTCATCTTGGAGAGGATTAAACCAAGCTACTCCTTGGAGGCAAGGATTCTGGGGCTTCGTCTGACATACTTTGGACATGTTACCAGGAGGGACGGGTCTTTGGAGAGGGACATCATGCTTGGGAGGGTTGAGGGACAACGCAGGAGGGGAAGACCCTCTATGAGATGGATTGATTCGGTGACTGGGGTAATCGGGATGGGTGTGTCAGAGGCGGTGCGTTTGGTGCAGGACAGAGCAGGGTTTAGGGCTGTTGTGCATAGGGTCGCTATGAGTCGGAAACGACTCGACGGCACATAACAACAACAACAATTTTACCATTATTCACATAAGAAAAATGAGTATGTTTTCTCCTGTTACTATCTGTTTGCATGTGATAATATGGATTTAGCCAAGAATTAATAAGGCTTAAGCTCTAAATTTAGGTAACATACCCAACTATAACAGAATTAACACAACATGAAAAGATAATGTAAACTATGTAATGGCTCATTGACACACCCCTCCTCCTCTTGTATAATCTACAGCACAAGAATTAAGAAATCTATTTCTTAGCACTGTTTATACTTCTTTGTTTTTATTTAAGAAAAGCACTATTCCCCTAAATGTGATGCAAAAATCTTCCTGCAACAAAATCACCTTTATGGGGGAGGAAAAGGAAGAGTTCCTTGTTAAAGTGCAGGGTCCTTATAAAAAAGAAACAGGTTGTGGATTTAGGACCTGTTATTTAAACAAATTCTCTTAAAACTTGCACCTTAAAGTTTGAGAGCAGTGCTCTAATTATTGGTTATCACAATGTTCTATTGTATGGATCTTCAAAATACACTCCCCATCAGGTCATTTTCCCAGTCTCAGTGGCTGCTACATGCTAGGCCAAGTCACTGTCCTCTAACCTGAAGTAAAAGACTAATTGGCTTCCTCTTGCTACTGACACTCTGGCCCCGCATTGCAGCCATCTCCTGTCACTCCCTTGCTACTACTATCCGATGACTGCCCAACACAAAAACAAAATCCAAAAACCTTATCATGTCTTAAAGTGCCAAAAGCAATCTGATCCTTGCCACCATCTCTCTCATAACACCAGAAACGTGCTTCAGGAGCTTTCCATTTTTTTGTCTTCCCGTGCATGAACCAGTTTTCCCCAAGATAACCACTTGGCTTAACTCCCTAACTCATTAGGTCTCTGCTCAAATATTTGAAAAAAGTGTTTTCTCATCACCCTATTTAAAGCGCCATCTCCTACCCAGTCACAAATCGAATAATTACTGAGCACATCTCATGTCTTCCCTAGACATTCTCATTTTTTGTGAAAACCCACTCTGATCAAAAGAAGGTTGTGCTTATCTAATCTCATTTTAAGTTCCAGCCTTCCTAATGCTCAGTAATTTAGCTATGTCATAGATAAATGAATCAAGATAAGAGATAAATTAGCACCTAGCAATCAACTAATGAGATTTCACTCCTAAACAGAGGTCCAAACATTTTTAGCAGCTTGAATCCAGCACCAGCTCCAAGGGAGAATGTCCCTCATGTTACGATTTATAAGCCTTAGAAACCCAATAGAAAGTCACTAAGAATTGGAAAGGGCCCTAAGAGTTAAGGAGGTGCACTGGCAACCCAAAAGCAAACAGTTGAATCTACCAACTGCTCCAAGGGAGAAAAAGAGGGCAAATCTCTCATGTAACTTACAGCCTCTGAATACCCTCTGGAGAGTGTTCTGACATAATGACAAGAAGTATGAGTCACTTTTCTGATGGTTCGAATCTGGTGGAGCCATGGGAGAAAGATGGGCAGTCTCCTCCCATTCAATTTACAGCATCAGAAAGCCAATGGAGAGTCAGCTATGAGTGAGTTTTGACTCAGTGAGAGAATGATAGTTCTGTATTACTCTTAAGCAGAGCTTGGATGGAGTTGGACATCACTTGCCTGGTGTTTCCCAAAAGAGCCTGTTCATCTAGATATTTAATCTCTTCATACATTTATATTTGGCCACCTTAAATGACCAAATCTGTACTCTACCAATAGTTTCTGCTTGCTTTCCTCATAGAACAGAACTTAACCTGCTTTGTTCTATCCTTTATATCCAGTTGGGCCATATTTACAACTGGGATTAAAAGACATAAAATTTTGAAGGGAGACACTATGTTATCTAGATGACTGACCAAGAAGCCTAACAGGCTTCCCTTCTCTCTGCACCTCCCATTTTTCTACCTCCTTGCTCCCTCTCCTGCAAAACTCACCCACCCCAGAAATACTTCTAAGTGGACTGGTCAGCCATCTCTTTGACTTGACTTTAAAGGTGGAAGGCCCTCTGATCCTAGTCTTCAAGTCTATTGATAGGACATTACCTTTCATCAGCATCTATTCTTTCGGGTTAATAATTTTCTCTTTTTGATTGACTATCAAAAGGAGTCAACTGCTATCACAGTTCCCAACCCTTAAATAGGTGCTAAGTAAATTTTCTGTGGTTTTCTCTATTGTCTTCCCTGGACCAATTATTTCCACAGGTAAGCAAAGCCAGTCTTCTTACTTAGCAAGAGTTTAAAATTATAGTTGTTGTTGATTGTTGTTGACTGCCTTAGAGTTGAGCATGACTGATAGTTGTAGAGGGGTTTCAGGTCTTTTGTTCATAGGGTCGCTAGGAGTCAAGTTCATAGTTTCTGGAGTCATGTTGTTTAGAAAATGTATGCCACTCCTTCCAAAAATTTATAGTGGTGGCCTGATATTTTCTGGGTAACATATTTACATTTTAACCAACATAGCAGTGCTATGCCAGGCAAAAATTCAGAGAGGCTTTTCGGTTGTCAGGAAAAATTGTGAAAGTGTTTTACAACTTTGTAAACTGAGAAACTAATATATGTGATTCTTGTATATGTTGCTAGTTGACTATGACTCACAGTAACCCTATGAACAATGGCTCTTACAACACACCTAACCTTATTGCCACAGTCACTGTGTAATCCATCTCATCCAAGGTTTTCCTCTTGCTGACGTTCCAGCCACAATGTCCTTCTCTCCTGACAACATGCCCTAAGTATGTCAGACAGTTTCAAAATTCTTGCTTCCAAGGAATAACGTTTTGCTTTCTCCAGGAGAGACATGTTTGTTCTCTTGGCAGTCCATGATATGTATGCTCAATACTCTTCACTAATAACTCAAAGACATCAATTCCCTTTCTGCAATTGAAAAGACTGTAGCTTGGCTCAGGTGCACCTTACTCTTGAGACTGACATCGTTCTTTAGCACTCTGTAGAGGTCCTTAACAGCAGTTTTTTTTCAGTGCAACTCAGCTTTAGATTTGCTGACTACTGGTGCCAACGGTGTTGATAATGGATCTGAGCAAGATGAAACTTTAACAACTTCTTATCCAATAAGATACTTCCATCCTGGAGAAGAGATGATTCTATACATTGCTTTTGATATTGTGGATATTAAAGAGTTTTGTATTTGTAGTAGCAAATTCTTTTCAGCATTCCTACGGGAGCTCTGGTGGCTAAGGGGTAAGAAGTTATACTGCCAACTCAGAGGCACAGGATTTTAATTCACCAGCTGCTCTGTGGGAGAAGGGTGGGCAATTTCCTCTAGGAGGCAGTGCAATTTACTGCCTCTGAAAACTTGCCGAAGGGTCAGCCCTGAGTCAGTACTGACAGTGCATAACAGTAATTGTCTATTATACATCTGTCTTTGTATTTTCCTTTGAACCAGTTTTAATATATTGCTGGTTCTTATTAATGTAATAAACTTTGAAACGTGTTTCTTTTATATGTGTGAGTTATCATTTAACCTTTTAAAAAGTTATCTCAAGCTCTATATTATTCTGATCATTTAGATAGAAGACTAGTCCTGAGAGTGTAAATTTGTAAAGGAAGCTAGCTAGCTACAAAACAAAATTTGTTTAATCTGCTAGTATTCTCAGTCTGGTCCATCAGAGGGTGCTAATGGCTTGTCTTAACTCCAGCAGCACAAACTTTTTTAAATGGTTAGTCTTCTGTAGAATGTTGCTTGAACACGAATGAATTGGACAGTATTTGTTTTTCACAGACAGACCTGAAAGGATGTGAGTTCACAGGCTCTCACCCTCAAGTCTCAGAATCAGCAAAACTCCTCCGCGCCAGGCGGTGGAGCCGAAAGATGCCTGAACCCACAACAGCAGCAGAAACACCAAAAGCTAGCAGCCAGCTTCCTAACATTCCCCCACAGGTTTTCAATTGGCCCTTGTCCCTCACTCTCTTTGCATATTGGTGTTACAGCTTGCCCGTCGCTTTTATAGACTCCACCTTTAGCCAGTAACTATTGGTAAATCGTTACGTCACTGCCCCATCTACCCTTCTCCCATTGGCTTACATATGAAGGGGCGGTCGCAACGTCACGAGCAGGGGCCGCCATTTTGACCGAGCAACCCTAGTGACAAGAGCCGAAGCAGCAGCGCAGGTTGTCCCGTTTCCCCTCCCCCTTCCCTTCTCCGGTGGTTTTCCCGGGCCCCCTACACTCCAGTCCCGGCCCCACCATGTCCCAGAAACAAGAGGAGGAAAACCCTTCGGAGGAAACCGGCGAGGAGAAGCAGGTGAAATTGAGGGGGTGCGGGCTGGTGAGCCGGGGGCGGCTATGATAGGGCGGGAGACGGTATCCCACCAGTGCGGATTGGTCGCCATGTTCTCTGGGTTTGCAGGGGTTGGTCACTTCTTGCGTCACGGAAGTTGAGCTTCATCACGGCCTTCTATTTGGGCTCTGGTTGGCTGAGTCGATTGTCAGTCAATGCCATGCCCTTCCTGATTGGCTGTTAGGCCTACCGCTCAAATCTTTGACGCTGTACTGTAATTGGCCATATTCGGGCGCAGGGCGGCTGTTTGGAGACTGGGTGAATGAAGGGGTTTAGATGCAGGTAGCTGGTGGGCCTGAGATGTGATATTATCGGTTAGTATGACTCTAAATGACGTGAAGACTAGGCTAAGACCCGCATCCTCAGGTCACGGGAAAGACGTTTAAAAAGGACTAGCACTGGGGGAGGGAAGAAAAGTAATTATTATGGTTAGTTTAAGGGGACAACTTTGTCAGAGCCCCTATTTTTATGGTTGGAAAATGGTCGGTTTGCCTGCCTTCAGTGCGGACCGAACAAGATTGACGAGGACCAGAACTCTGCACAGAATAATAAGAGGTTAAACCTAGAGAAAACGGGGGAAAAATCATGATAAAAGACATAACACAGCGTCAGTTAAACCACCGACGATTTTAGGGTGAAAATATTTTAACGCCAAAGAAACCCTTTCGGGCCAGTTTAGTACTGAACTCAGGGACTCCTGAAATATACCAGGTGTTATAGCTATGTGATTTTTTTAAAGAAGAGAGATGCAGCTACACTAAAAAGAGCTGCAAATTGGCTTCCTGTTCTTTTTTCAAAGTAACAAAAGAAAAAGGTAACAGGACAATACATAAAAAGCAAGAGTGAGGTCTCCCCAGTAGAAGTGAGAGTCCTGCAGATTGATTCAACTCTTGGTATATTTCCCAAACTTCCATTATTTACTCCAAAGAAAAGTGTTAATATTTTGGTGCAAACTGGCAAGTAAATATTAGTGAAGTCTTCCTTTCTCTGAGGTTAAACACTGTCCTTTTCATCTCTAGTTTACTTATTACCTTCTTGCTGTAGTTTTTGTGGAGATGTTGGAGCAGTATTATCCCCATTACTCTGGTAGAAATTTTTTGGCAAAAGCCACATAACCTACTCCATACAGAGATTTATCAGAGGCTTTCTTAGACTGAATAAGGAGAGAACATCTCAACAAAAAGTGATCCTCCATGATTTCCTCATATTTGGCCTGTATTATATTTTAGAGACAACCCAGGAACCCCCCCTACATGTCTTGCATTGCCAATAGGCCAGGCTAACTCCTTGCCTTCCCAACCTTCTGGGCTGTGATTTATGGCCTGCTCAGTGCATAAAGTCTTATGTTTATGAGTGTTACCTTTATGCTAATACTTACAGGTAACAGGGGTGATTCACTGGGCATAGTATAAGAAGCAGTCTGTCTTTCCTTTCTCAATACAGTCATCTTAAGCTTTGGGATTTGAACAAAGATCTCCTTTACAAGCTAAAGTGAAGTGGAGATAGTATATTTATAACTAGGTGGATCTCAAAAGGGTTGCCAGGTATTAGAAGCAATCAGTTCTCCATTTCTTTATTTTGGCCTATTTGTTTCCTCCAGGATACGCAGGAGAAGGAAGGTATTCTTCCCGAGAGAGCCGAGGAGGCAAAGCTAAAGGCCAAATATCCAAGCCTAGGACAAAAGCCTGGAGGCTCTGACTTCCTCATGAAGAGACTCCAGAAAGGGGTATGGTCACAATACCTTAACCTCTTTGTAATCTAAATGTGCAATGAAGATGATCCTGTAGAGGTTCCAACTGAACAGTGGAAGGAAGCTTTGTACAAAGGTAGAAGCTTGAAAAGAGCAAAGCAGAATATTAGACTCCTTTTCTGATTATCAATTCCCCTGTGAAGTCCCCTATTGAAAATAAAGCTTAAATCATGAGCATTTGTGTAGATTCGGGAGGTGATGGAAGAAGGATATTAGAGACTAGAATGCTTACCACTGCAGACATTTAACTATTTGGGGAGGGTTAGAGAGAGGGGGTGTTTGGGATTTTTTTTTGTCCCTCTCTAGGTAGACTTAAATTTGGGAGTGCATCGTTTCAGAGAAAGGTCAAACCATCAGTCCTGTAGAAATCCTCAGCTTTCAAGAAATAGATTCCTTCAGACCCTTCAAGCTATATAGCCACTCCCATTAACTATATTACCTCAAGAGGCTTATTTTTCTTGTCCAGAGTGATTTTTATCTTCACCCAAGAACAGTCTACCCTCATAGCCATCTATCTCTTAACAGATTTCCTAGTCTCTGGGGGTACCTAATTCTGAGAGATTATAAAGCATTCAACTGGAATGTGTTCCTCTGTGTGGATAAAAATGGAGAGTGAAACAGATCCCTATGGAGAATCCCAGTTACTGCGTCTTAGTCACAGATGATAATGTGTTGCTGGTTTGCAGCTTACCTAGCTGTAGGCAAGGCAAGCGTGGGCAGGCTGTCACAGTCATGGAACATGTGTGGGAGCAGTGGGAATCAGAAGGAAAGCACATTGTCCTCATCAGCAAGCCTAGTTCCTATTCCTGATCTGAGAATAATTTTTAATTTTGAAACTGCTGTCTGGTGGTTTGTTTTTTTTTTTTTAATTATATTTTATTACTGTCTGGTGGTTTATCCAATGATTGTTAAACCATCCCTAAACCAATCCATTTATATATCTTAGTGCTTCCTCTGCCTAGCACCAAACTGATTACTTTGAACATAGTAGCTCCTCAGTAAGCCTTTATGAATAAAGTATTGATAATATTTACTTTATCCTATGTTGAACTCAAACTCATTGCCATCTAGTTGAAGCCAACTAATAGTTGAACCTCCCATGGATTTTCACAGACAATAAACCACAGATGAGATTGCCCCTCTTTCTCCTTAAGTGCAGCTGGTGTATTCGAACTGCCTGTCTTAGGGTTGGCAGCATGGCTCACTACCCACCATGGCACCAGAGCTTCTAATACTAAGGTAATACGTAAAAGAGATGGAATATTTACTCTAAGAAATTGCTTCCATATCTGAAAAAGTCAGAATACATTAGGAAGAAGACGTAAGTACATATAATTATTATATGACATGTGTATGTGAATAATCAAGAAAGGTTCCCCTATCCCTGGCCGTATACCCCAAGGAAGACTTCTTGAAAGAGCCGAATGTGGGTGAGGATTTATAATGGGTATGAATCTCCTTGGTTTTCAAGAAGACCAAAACTCCCGATTCACTTTAACCATCCCTCCTTTCTCCTAGCAAAAGTACTTTGACTCAGGAGACTACAACATGGCCAAAGCCAAGATGAAGAATAAACAGCTGCCAAGTGCAGGACCAGACAAGAACCTGGTGACTGGTGACCACATCCCCACCCCACAGGATCTGCCCCAGAGAAAGTCCTCACTCGTCACCAGCAAGCTTGCGGGGTAACCTGGGCCCCCTGTCCTCCCCTTCCTCACCCACTGGACTTTTATATATTGTAGGCAGGGATGGAATGGGCACTTACTCAAACCTCAGCTTGTTAGCCAGAGATGACTGTGATTCCGTCGGGGACTGAAAGTAATGTGGGTTGTAGAGGGGCTCTGAATTAATTTCTTTGCTTAAACTGAGATTTCCACACCCTCACTATAGCCCAGCTAGGGACCCAGAAATAGAAAAGACTAGGACTGGATAATGCTGCAAACCCTATTTGGTATGAGTAACTGGGGAGATAAGAATTCTGCTTTTGAAAGAAAATACCCAAAAATTTGTTAAACATCAGTTCTAACATCTTAAAGGTTGACCTGATAGAATTGGAAAAGGTACATAGAATGAGATGTGTTTTCTGTGCTTCTAAATGTTTTGTCTCTTACACTGCTATTGCTTTGTGTTTCCATTATGGCAGGTTTTAAGAATTCTCAAAAATCTTTGGCTTGCCTAAAACTACAGTGCCCATTTTACATCCTTTATTCAGTCAGTATCTCTCTTAGAGTTTGCTCTGACTCTCAAGTATCAGAAAGCTAGAAAAATACTATACACAGAAAATGAGCACCTACCCTCTCCTAGAATGTTAGCATGGAAAAGTATCATGGGATAGTGGAAAGGGCGCTGATTAAAGAGTTAAGATCTCTGGCTTCTAGTCCTGCCTAGTCTTGTAGAACTGCTATGTAACTTTGTTCAAGTTGTCTAGCCTATCTGGATTTCTATTTTCTCATCTGTAAATTAGAATCGAATTATGACCCTAAAATCCTGTAGCTCCAAGGTGAAAAACTCTGCATTGTAAAAACTGAACGTGAGAAAGGTCCCATAGGGAGCTTATGCTTGGAAAAATACCTAAAGGAACTGTTTGAGGGCTGTGTAGGGAGAGAGAAAATTGACATTTGGGAGCTATAAAGTCAAGCAAGAAGACCTTGTAGCTGTTATAACCTTGAGAGCCACAGAAAATAAGTCTTAAGAAGCTAGCTATGGAAACTCCTTGCGTCTGCCTCCACCCACTTTTCCTGGCCTATATCTGGACCTTTGCTGCTAAAAAGCTATTCTGGCAACAGAACTGCTGTGGGCCTGAGGAAACATGCTCAGTCATGCACACAGGGAGCCCCACATTTCCAAGGTAATCAGATGTTAGTTGTGTTGTTAGGGAGACAAGAAGAAAAGGGATGAACTGTGCTGGCCTTCAGGGCTTAATGCTACTGCAGAGCTGGAACAGCAGGTTCTTGAGAGATGATTCACCCTGGAGGGAGCTAGGGAAGGTGGTTAGTGAGGAAAGGAAGAAAGACGTAAGATTTTGCTTTCCTGGAGCTCAGTAACTCAGCTTTTGGGCAAAGATAAGTGACAGTGCTGATTCATGAACAAGTGGAAGAAAGAGATTATTGGCCAGCACTTGGCATCACTAGATGCTTTATGTAGAATCTTACTAAGTGCGCCCTTCTAGTTAAGACAGAAAGGACTAGGGTGAGACCTACCTGTTCAAGAGAGCCCTCTCCCCTGACATATTCTGGCATACTAAATATTTGGCCTGGTTAAGAATGAATGATGAACTTGCTAGTGTGCATGAGGCGTGGGATGGGTTGTACTACACTCTTTCCTGTCTGGCTGTTCAACTTTCCAGGCTGTCATTCAGATTGGATAGGGAAAAGTTGGTGAGGAAGGAATGGAGAGCACAGGATCCCTGGACTCCCTGGCCCCCAAACTCCTTGACTGTCACTTGTAATTGTATACAATTTTTGTGTTTCTTGATCCATTTCTTCATGCTGTCTTCCTTAGTCTAAAGTCCATGTGGGAAGGGGAAAATGCTGAACATCCTTGTATAGTTTCAACTGTCCTGGCCATGTTGTACATAGATATGTCATGTTATTATATATATAAATATATATATAATTTTGTACGTTTTCTTCATCTCCGATCTTCTCGAGTTCTGTATTTTTTTTTTACTGTCTGAGCTGCCTTCTTTATTGTTAGCCTGAGACCTCACAACTGACGATCACAATGGAATTTAGTTTTTAAGGAAGGAATAGAAAAACTGTTGGTTGCGATATTTCTCCACCTGGTCATCTTCAGGCTCAGAAAACAAAGAAACAAGCTACATTTCTATTTGCCACCTATTTTCACAGCATGAAGTGCATAGTTTCCTTACCAAAAAAGGGTCATTTCATAAAACAAATTGCTTTAATTAAACCTGGATTGTTATTTTCTCCATCCAAAGCAACACGTGTGTTGTTTTGCCCCTGGCCTCCACGCTGTCATTCACTCCCTCGTCACTGTGCTGTACTCTACTGCTCCCCGACACCGCAAGGAGGCCAGGCTGTGCCTTTGAGACCCGACCTGTTCTGGGCCAGGCAGTTTACAACCCTGAGAACCTACGGTTATTTTGGTCTTTGTCTAAAAAATTGGTTGTCTTGGTTTTTCATGGTTATCTCCAAAAATCTAGAGAACATTTTGTTCTATGGATTGGAAAAGACAAATCCATTTTCTCCCTCCTTGACTTTTTTTATTTGGGTGGATTTGTACTCCCTTATGGGTGGATTTGAGGCCTATACTAGATAGCTAATAAATACTAGTTGTGGATGAGTGATGGGTTAGGGACTGGGATGGAATGTAGGGTTTTGTCCCTATTACTTGACATTGTTTTATTCTGTTCTTCTGTGTTCGTCTGCAGTGGCCAAGTTGAATGATGCTGCCCGGGGCTCCCGCCAGATCCTGAGACGCTGCCCCCCTGGGTCCTGTGCTGGCTCCTGCCCCTCCCTGCTTTTGCAGCCAGGGGTCAGGAGGTGGCTCGGGCGCGGGCTGGAGAGGCAGAAGCCCCTGCCCGTCGGTGTCCCAGCGCATGGAGCCCCTTGGGCTGAGCACCAAGATCTTGAACCTATTTTACCTTTTTTCCAAAAAACTGTTGGAAGAAATTTAAATCCTGGGATTGGGATTGGGGTTGAGAGGGTGGGTAGGGTGGGAACATGTCAAGGGATATGAACTAGGGCTTGGAGATGATAAAAACATTCCTGACTATCTCCCTAACAGTGTGGCTGGGGTGGGGTGGGATATGGGAGAAGAACCGGAGTGGATTAAAGATGAGAGGTTGCAATTCAGCTCTGTAGGAAAATTACTTTTTTGCTGGGATATGACTGGGAGTCTGGTGTCAGATGAAAGCAACTGTCCATCTAAATGTGACAGACAGACAACCCCTCTGATTCTACAGAGCAGGCTGAGTGAGCATCAGTGTTGTTTGTTCCTGGAAGCACACTGTCCTCTTAAACTAGATATGCTGTGGGAGGGCACTGAGTATGGGGAATCTCAGAGCACAGGGGACATTTTCAGTATTCTAAATAAAATTTTAAAAAAAGACCCACTTTAAAAAAAAAAACCAACCCAGAAATATTCTCAAGCAGTTGGTGTGTTTTATTGGGGTTTGGGATGAGGGGGAAAAACAAGGCTGAAAGCACTATTTAAGAGGAAATTGATATGGAGCCCTGAAGAGTGAAGGAATGACAGTACTGAATCTAAATGACTTACTGATTCCTAACCAGCTTGATTAGAAACTCACCAGCTTAGTTCAGGGTAAGCAGAAGAATCCATTCTTTTTTTCCTCTTCAGCTTTCTGTTCCCAGTTTCCCCTATCTGGAGGTGATACGTTGTTATGTGCCGTCGAGTCTCTTGCAACTCATAGCGACCCTATGTACAAACAGCCCTAAACCCTGCTCTATCCTGTGCCAATCACACTGCCTCTGGCACACTCATCCTGATTACCCCAGTCACTGAATCAATCCACCTCATAGAAGGTCTTCCCCTCCTGTGCTGTCCCTCCACCCTCCCAAGCATGATGTCCCTCTCCAAGGACCTGTCCTTCCTTGCAACATGTCCAAACCATGTCAGACAAAGCCTCAGAATCCTTGCCTCCAAGGAGTAGCCTGGTTTAACCCTCTCCAGGATGAATCTGTTTTCTTGGCAGTTCATGGTACATTCAGTACCCTTCTCCAGCACCACAGCTCAAAGGGGAGGAGATATGTAGCCTTTAATAATAAACTGTAGGGAATACAAGCTTTCTGCTTCTGGCCAGCAGGAGGCAGAGTGACCTCTTCGGTCATGGTGTCCCAACCGACCACACTGGAATGTTGCCACTGAAAAATTAAAAGCTGCTTGTGTATATAATGAATAAAAGAAAACTACTGAAAGAAGCAGGTCACACCCATCTCTCCTACCCCCAAAATTTACACAGATTGTAACTATTTTCCCTGTTTGCCAGAATGTAATTAAGAAAGTTGATAGTACTGATTACTTGTAATTGGCTTCTCAAATGAATATGCTTCAAGGATGATAAATTGGTCCAGGAGACACCTATCTCAGAGACCTCCCTAGTGTACTGGGGCAGTAACCCTCTAAACTGCAGAAAGATTGGCTTGACTTTCTGAATAGACAAGGAATTGAGATACTATCTAATCTTTGAACAGCATGTGATTTACTGAGTGAGCCAGGTAGTACAAAGACACATTAAAAGCATTCACTGCCATTAGAGCAAAAGAGCTCTGTTGCCTTAGAGCTAAGGAATTCTGCTTCCAACACAAAGGTATGCAGTTCAAATCCACTAGTTACTCCACAGGAGAAATATGGGCAGTCCCCTCCCATGTGATTTACTGCCCCTGAAAACCCATGGAAGAGTCAGCTATGGGTCAGTTTCGACTTGATGGTACATAGCAACCACCATCAGAGTTCATTGTCGAGTTGGAGAAAGCAATATTGAAAGGAGTTGATACTTCAACGGACATTTTAGGAAGTATGTAATCATATATAAAACTATTGCAGTTGCAGTCAGGGGGCAACAAGAGTGTTTATTCTTGTGAATAAACGGGCTTCTCACCCTTACTTTCAATTGAGCCAATGCAGTGACTTTAAAGGATGATTTTCTCTGGCTTATGTTTATTAGGTACTGCTGTGGATGAAGTCAGGCAGAATGTGGGATTCTTCACTTCATGCAACAAGTGAAACAAAAGTTGTAGAAATATAAGTGGTTTGTAAAATGGTAAAGTTCGGCTGGTAATTTCGAGTATCTAGGATATATACTATTTGTTCACCATGTTGTTGGCTTCCCCAATCCTTAATCTTCATATAAAGTGCTTAGGAATCCTGAGTGCCTGGAAATGTGTGGAGCTATATTTCTGTTTAATCATGCCATTCCTTCTTCACTGCTATAACTTGAGGCATCAAGAGCAAATTGATTTTGCAGTGCCAGAGGTTAACCCTGTGCATTATCTTTGTGAGGTGTTCTTCAAAATCTCTTATGAAAAGTCAGGGGTTCTATTTCAACACGAGAAATGATTGCACTGAGCCATCTGATATGTAGGCTGTTGGTGTGTGCTGTCCTTCCAGCGGGTTTTCAGAGGCACTAAATCACATGGGAGGAGATTGCCCATCCTCCTACGGAGCACCTTCTTACCAGAGACATTCTAACATAATGTGGCCTAGGGATGGAAAGCAAGCAAAAAGGAAACAACTTTAAAAATTTTCATTTAGGATATGCTGTCAACAGTGAAAGCCCTAGTGGCTCACTGATTAAAGTGCTTGGCTGCTAATTGAAAGGTTGGTAGTTAGGACCTACAAACCACTCTACAAAAGAAAGATGTGGCAGCCTTTGCCTCTATAAAGGGTACAACTAGGGAAGCTGTTTTACAGAGTTCCTGTAAGTAGAAAATCACTTGCTGTAAGGTTTTCCGAGAACCTTGGTACACAGTATGCGACTGTGCTGCCCTCTACTGAGCCATGAGGGAACTTAACTGGGAAGGTTCTTTCCGACTCTTACCCTATAAGACTAAAACTGCCCCCAGATTTCCAAGGGTGTACATCTTTACAAAAGTAGTCTACCACTAGGGAGCTCTTGACTAGTGGCAAGCTGCGCTTGCAGCTCCGCGGTTCGAATCCACCAGATTCTCAGCTGGAGAAGGAGCCACCTCCTGTGCCACTCGGATCTGATTCAGCAGTGTGCACACACACTAAAGCAGTCGATCACGTCTTCCTTTTGTAGAGTAACTAACTGGTGGTGGATTTGAGTGCTCACTCCTTTTTTTTTGGTTTTGGAGTTGTTTGGGTTTTGTTTGTTTTTTTGCAACTAAGCATTATAACCACTGTCGCAGTGAACTTCTCTGCCACAGTGGTACACAAATAAAGAATGTAATTCAAAGCATCATCTGAAGAGCTAGAGACATGAGTTGTTAGTTGAATTTTATTCGAGGTTGACTTGCTGATAGAGAGAAGGTGGGGCAGCAGTATTTTCATTCACAGGGAATTGTTTTTTGTTGTTGTTTTTCTATAATTATATTTTATTAATTTTCATAAACATTTACAGAGATTTTGGGCTTCCACTCATTCATTGTTGCACTATTCTCTCTACCTTCCTCCCAGTTTGATCTTGTCCAAATGCCACAGTGCTTGTCAAAGCCAGTTCTGATTAATCTTCTTTGTCAGTGTGTCCTTTGCCATTCCCTATCACTCCTCCCTGAGAGAGACTTCACCCTGATTCATAAGGAAAAGGGGATGGCGTATTCTCTTAGCTACTTCCTGCTGAAAAGGGACGCTGTGGGTTTCAGGGTGAAGATCTTCTCTCACTACTCTAAAGGGCCCCTTTGGCAGTAGGAAACACATAGACTATTATGGAGATTGATTTTGGAATTCAGATGCACTCTTACTGATTGTGCTTGGCCGTACATGTTCATATCCTTGAAGATGTATCATGGACAGGGAATTGTTGAGCACTCACTTTGCAATTGAAAATACTGTTATGTGGCATAAGACGTGTCTACCTTGGGTAAGCTTGCAGCCTCATTGAGACAGTGCTCACAATGCAAAACAACATACAATTGGTAGTAAAAGAACTCTGGGAAGGGAAAATCCAAACAACTGGAATCATTAGATAAATATTAATGGAAGAGATGCTGGTTGAACTGAGCCTTGAAAAATAAATAGCCCAATTTTATAATTGTCTAATGTGCCAGGCAAATAAGCTAAAATACAATATTATATATGGCTACTTTTCCTCCTCAAAAAAAATATGTAACACTCAGGTGGAGACTATACATGTGAACAGATCATTTTATACTGTTACACTTAAATCAGGGAGCACTGTTGGTAAGGAAGTGTGCTGTCAACTCAAAGGCATATGGTTCATATCTGCCAGCTGCCCCACAGGAAGAAGATGGGTAATCAACTCCCACGTGATTTACTGCCTCTGAAAACCTGCTGGAGAGTCAGCCACAATAACAATACTTAAAGCAGTGGACATTTAGCTAGCTATGAAAAAAATAGCAACAAAAGTAACAGTTGCCAGTGTTTTGGAATGCTTATTTATATCAAGCTCCCTACTAAGGGTTACATTTACATAATCTGTTCTGTGAAATAAATGCTGTTATTGTTTCTATCATGGAAATAAGAAAAATAAGACAAAATAACATGGAAAAGTCTCTATCGTATAGCTTCTGAGTAGAGAGGCAGGATTTATTCAGTATTTACATAAAGGGATAAAGAAGATAAATGTTTAGGAAATCCTCTGTTAAATAAATCCTGAAAAAGTTTCTCCAGAAAGGTAGGTACAAAAGGGTATTTTGGTGAGGGGTTAAAACAGCACAATTGAGACAGTATGAACTCTATTTCTGCAGTTTGGATGAATCCTGGGGAGTAGTTGAAGACCAGGCTGGAAAGACACAGGCCAGACTGCAGAGGATATGCTCTCTTAGCCTAGAAACCATAAGGAGGGTACAAAAATGAGGTCTGGTCATGTCTGTGTTTTCGATTTGTGACTGACAAATAGGGTGGAAGAATTTAAAGGCGGTGAATTTATATATGGGCTGATTGTAATTTCAGGTTGTCTGATTTTTATAATTCTAGAAAAGTTTCTTAAACTCTCATTGCCTCCACACACTTGTAAA